AAATGTTCTGGCTTTTGACATGAATAATATACACTTAATGTCTGCACCCGAGGAAAAGACGTTAAGTGTTTTGTTATATAGCGACGAAACAAATATCAACATTGAACAACATTCATACAACAATATTTGTATTTCATGACAAAAACTCTACAGCGTAAACGAGTTTAAAATTTAAAAAACCTACTTAAATGGTTTCAGCAGCATATCCTGTTGCCAGTTATGTATTTTTCTTCTCTTTTACATTCTTTATTTGAACACAAAGCCACGAAAACAGTAGTTTAAATAGTATAAATTTGTGCCGCCATTTTGTTTATTTTTATGTACGTAGCCGGTCGGGGCGGGCAACAATTTTTCACTTATTGCCCGGGCGGGATACATTGCATTTATTTAAAGCTACGTGACTACAAATCAGCCAATCACGTTTGGTGTTCACACTAGCTATATAACAACATAACTTAGTTTGTGGCCGTGCAGTATTATTTTGCCTGAAGTTGTTCATAGTAGGGCACTGTCTGGACACATAACCAAATCCATTACACGAATAACATGTTTTGGCAGCATTCAAAGAACTAACTGAGCCAATTGTTGTTCTACTTGATTTTTCTGTTGCTTCTCTGGCTAATGTTTTCATTGTGGCATTTGCTGCCTCAAATCTTCGAGCAATTAACAAGGCATCATCTAAACTGTTTGGTGGCTCTTGTAACAACTTGTTTTGGGTGGCCTTATCTCTCAACCCCAAAATAAATTGATTAACCAACCTGCTAGAATATTCGTCACCATGGAAACCACATCTAGCTCCAGCTTCTCGCAAAGAAACAGCATACGAATCAACAGACTCACCAGGCTCCTGTTCCCGACGATGAAAATTGTAACGTTTCCGTAGCAGTCTGATTCCTTTCAAATAACGATTCAACTTTACAATCCAATCTTTGTACGCGTTTTCCCCTTCGCCAAACTCAACCGGTTCTGCCAAGCGAAACGCATCTTCGCTCAAATTAAACAACAGCGCAAATCGTCGCTTTTTAACATCTTCAAGTTCCACAGGAACGCGAGTCGGAAATTTTCCGGACTGTCAATTTATTTCGGACTGCAGGAATTATAAGCTAAGTGTGATTAAAACGAGTACTTTAAGCAACGCGCGATTGTTTCCGCTGCAGTTTCGGTCTTTCAAGCGCAGCGTGACCCTTTGCCACTCAAAATAAGCGCATGCAGCGGGTTTCGCCTGTTAAATAAGCGCGTTTAGCTTATTGCCAACACAATCAAGTTAAAATTGGTAGGTAAATACCAGGCATACCTCCTCATTAAAGGTGATGACATATCCATATCAGGAAAACCATCTGTTACTTATATAAGCTTCGGATACAGGGGGGATATTTTTGCTGTGATGGTACGCAGTGGTTGAAAAAGTATTGCATTGCCGTTGCACAAAGTGGCTACACCTGCAATACTTTTGGGAATGCGAGACAAAAATGGACAATAAAGCGTAGGCGCACGTTTCAATATTACGCTTTCTATTGCCTGACACCTTCCAAAGTTCTGCAATCGTTGCCCAAAATCCAATGGTTTGGAATTTCGGCAACGATTGCGAGAAGCTTTGCGCTGCCATTGCGGGGTAAGATACACAAGTAATTTACCTCTCGCAACGATTACGCCAGAAAAATGATGCCCGTGTATCCGTAGCTTATAGGCCATTGATGCTGTAAGGTCGCGTCAAGAGGTCGAAAACTAAAAGTGATCAACAACAAAGAGTCGAGATGTCCTCGCGCTTTATAGACTTTATATATGAAGCTATGGGCACAGATTTTCAGAACCAATATGTCGCGGATGCTTGAACTGTAAGGCGCCCAATAATTGAGCAGATTATAAAAGAGGATGCATATTGCATGTAGAAAAAAGATGAAGGTAGAAAAAGCCATTAGGGTATGTACGTATTTTAAGAAAGCATTCGAATTACGTATTAAGAACAATAAGAAGGCATTCGAATACTTCTTGTCAACGGAAACGACGTGTTAACTCGGAGCTGGAAGGGAAATGTTTTACCAAACAATTCTCACTATTACAGTCTCGACTATTTATTATCCATCATTGATGAACAACATTTATTTAGTTACTGGGAATTAAGTCCTCAAACGTTCTCAAAAATTTAGAGACACGCTGACATTTAATATTGCACGAGTTCTCTAATAGATCGAAACATACTAACATAGTAGCTGCTGTATATTAAAAATTTCTTTATGATATTTATATAGAGACATAGTATAACTTCTCTATAATATATAAGGAATTTAACGTTATACATGCATGCCTGAGTTTGAATAAATGTGACTTGACAGTGGACTACAGTGCATATCTAGTCTCCTCTATACAGAAAACTAATTACACAATCGCGCATCAATTTAGACTGGCAAAATGAGGTAACTGCTGCGTGCATATTACATTCTGGTGTTTATCATAAAGCCCAGGATTAAACATCATGTATCGATAAAATGGTATAAAATATGAAGTGCCTGGCTATATTACAGCGTGTTGCGCGCGAATGTCAACACATTCAAACCGCACTTTAAGCAAAGCGCGACTGTTTTTAGCGCTCTAAGCTCCGGGTGACCCAATGGCATGCAAAATAAGCGCGCTTAGCTTATTGGCAAGCACAATCGACATATAGCATATGTGTTTAGAAGTTAATTTTAGATAAAATATATAACACAAAAACGGAAAAATGAGAACATCTTGAAAACCCAAGATATGAACCCAAGCAAGACATAAATTCAAATGGTTTTATTTCGATCCTATTACACAGAATTTCCCCCATTGATCGACTGTTATTATTTAAGACCCCCTTTACACGAGCCCGGGTTGACTATCAACCCGGTTTGGCTTGCCTGCCCGGGTCAACCCGTCCACGAATAAATCCCTATTAGGGTTTATGCGCGATATACCAAGTCACGGGTGACGTCACAAGTGAAGAGTGACGTCACACCAATAGGAGATAATGGAATTATATCATTTCGTTTTGTTCTTTGTTTTTTAAATAACACTAGTTTTAGCTACCTATTTGTTTTGGATCGTCAGGCTTTTTGGCTGGTGCATTTGGATCGTTTCCTTTCTGTAGATCATTCGTATCATTTGCTTTTTGGCTGGTGCATTTGGATCATTTGCTTTTGTGGATCATTTGGATCATTTGCTTTTTGTGGATCATTTGGATCATTTGCTTTTTGT